AAAGAAATCATATGATCAACTCAAGAGAAAACATTTGACACAATCAAACGTATCTTTCCCATGAAAGCTTTAAAGAAATTAGGAATTGTGAGGAATTTCCTCAAATTCATAAAAGACATTTACAGAAAAACTGTCACTAACATCATACTTAATGATGAAAGATAAGGAATAAACAGGAATATCTGCTCTCACTACTTCTGTTGAACATCATACTGAGGAATCTAGCCAGTACAAGGCAAGAAAAAGAAATAAAAGGCATATATTTTGGAAAAGAAGAAAGAAAACTTTCACTGGTAACATGATTATATATATAGAAAATCCTGTAGACTGCATTAAAAAAGACACTATAATAAGTGATGATAGACAAGTTGTAGGATACAAGATCAATAAACAGAAATGAATTGTATTTCTGTATGCTAGCAACAAATAGACATTCAACTTTTAAAGATACCATGTACAAAAGTATCCAAAAAAATAAGAAATACTTAGGGATAAGTATGATGAAGGATTATACACTGAAAACTATTATACATGCAGAAAGAAAATAAAGAAGACATAAAGAAGAGATTTATTGTGCTAATAGATAAGATTCAGTGTTGTCAAAAAGTGTCAATTTTTGTAAAATTGATTTGTACTTTTAACACAATCCTAATCAGAATCTCGCTAGCTTTTTTTGTAGAGGTTGGCTTATTCTCAAATTTCTATGGGAATGGAAATAACATAGTATAGCCAAAACAACTTTAATAAAGAAGTACAAAATTAGGGGACTTCAACTAGCTGACTTTAAGATATTATAGTTCAGGCAGTATCTTATTGACATAAACATAGACAGGTCACTGGAACTTAGTGGAGAGTCAAGAGATTAACTTACACATAGATGATCTTTTGATGTCTAACAAAGCACAAAGTAAATTCCATTCAGAAAGTATAGTCTTTTTTTACAATTGGTACTGTAACATTTTGATATCTGTATACCTCCCAAAATGAACTTCGAACCATACCTCACACCATATACAAAAAGTAATTCAAATGGATCATGGATTTAAATGTAAATTCTAAAGCCATAAGGCTCCTAGAAGAAAACATGGAAAAATTCATTGCAACCCTGGAAGGTAGGCCAAGATTTCTCATATATGACACCAAAAGTATGGTATTCTTCATCAAATATTTGTTCTCATCAAAGTCAATAACTTCTACTCTTTGAAAGAGACTCTAAACAAATGAAAAGATGAGCCATAGATTAGGTAAAATATTTCAAGTAACATATCTGATAAAGAATTTCTATCCAGAATATTTAAAGAACTCTCTAAAGTGAATAATTTTTTTAAAAAGACCCAATTTTTTAAAAAATGGACAAAAAATTTATACAGATGTTTCAACAAAGAACATATATGGATATCAAATAAGCGCATGAAAAAAGATATTTTACATCTTTAGTCATTAGGTAGATAAAATTAAGTCACAATGAAATACCATACCACACTTACTAGAAGGTTTAACCGAGACTGTACCAAGTCTTGGCAAAGATGTGGAGTAAGTAGAAATATCATCATTGCTCTTGGGAGTCCAAAATGGTGCAGTTACTTTGGAACATTTTTTGGCAGTCAATTTTAAAAAAATTAAAACCTTCACCACCTATATGACTTGATCATTCCATTTGTAGATATTACAGTCCAAGAGAAGTGAAGGGACTCTACACAGTGTTCACACCAACTTTATTTATAATATCCGACATTAGGGAGACAACCCAAGTATCCAAAAGCAGGCAGTTGAATAAAAAATTTTGATGTATTGTTACAGTGAAATGCTAACTCAGCGATAAAAAATAATGGACCTCTGACAGATACAACAACATAGATTAGTCTGAAAATCAATAATCTGGATGAAAGAAACCAGGCAAATAGAGTACTTGCTATATGCTTCCACTTATATAAAATTCTAAGAAATGTAAACTTGTAACAGTGACAGAAAACAGAACAGTATTTGCCTAGGTACAGGGCATGTGTGAGGAAAAAAGGGGAAGTATTACAAGCAACCAGTAAAACTTTGGGGAGTGAACAGTTCATCTTTTTATTTTTCATAGCTTTGGTGTTTAATCTTTTTTTTTTTTCAAAAAGTAATTCAAATGGATCATGGATTTAAATGTAAATTCTAAAGCCATAAGGCTCCTAGAAGAGAACATGGAAATATTCATTGCAACCCTGGAAGGCAGGCGAAGATTTCTCGTGTATGACACCAAAAGTATGGTATTCTTCACCAAATATGTGTTCTCATCAAAGTCAATAACTTCTCTTTGAAAGCGACTCTAAACAAATGAAAAGATGAGCTGTAGATTAGGTAAAATATTTCAAGTAACATATCTGATAAAGAATTTCTATCCAGAATATTTAAAGAACTCTCTAAAGTGAATAATTTTTAACAGAAGACCCATTTTTTTTCTTTTTGCTTTTTAAAAATTTTTTTCCAATTATTTTTATTAGTTGGAGGCTAATTACTTTACAACATTATAGCGGTTTTTGCCATACATTGACATGAATCAATGACAAAAAATTTATACAGATGCTTCAAAAAAGAACATATATGGATATCAAATAAGCACATGAAAAAAGATGTTCTACATCTTTAGTCATTAGGGAGATAATATTAAGTCACAATGAAATACCATAGCACACTTACTAGAAGGTTTAACTGAGACTGTACCAAGTCTTGGCAAAGATGTGGAGTAAGTAGAACTATCATCATTGCTCTTGGGAGTCCAAAATGGTGCAGTCACTTTGGAACATTTTTTGGCAGTCTATTTTAAAAAAAAGTAAAACCTTCACCACCTATATGACTTGTCATTCCATTCGTAGATATTACAGTCCAATAATGGGAGATGTTCATACCAAGACTCCTACACAGTGTTCACACCAACTTTATTTATAATAGCCGACATTAGGGAGACAACCCAAGTATCCAAAAGCAGGCAGTTGAATAAAAAATTCTGATGTATCGTTACAGTGAAATGCTAACTCAGCAATAAAGAAAAGTGAACCTCAGAGATACAACAACATAGATTAGTCTGAAAATCAATAATCTGGATGAAAGAAACCAGGCAAATAGAGCACTTGCTGTATGCTTCCACTTATATAAAATTCTAAGAAATGTAAACTTGTAACAGTGACAGAAAACAGAGCAGTATTTGCCGAGGAACATGGCATCTGTGAGGAAAAAGGGGGAAGCAGCCAGTAAAACTTTGGAGAGTGAACAGTTCATCTTTTTTTTTTTTTTCATAGATTTGGTGTTTAATTTTTTTTCCCCCTCTGCTTTATTTGTTTATCTTTGGCTGTGCTGGGTCTTCATTGCTGTGCTGGCTTTTTGCTCGTTGCAGCGAGTGGGGGCTACTCTGCAGTTGCATACCATGGTCTCTAGGGGTGTGGGCTTCAGTAGTTGCAGAACGTGGGCTCAGTAGTTGCAACTCCCAGGCCTTAGATCAAACAGGCTCAGTAGCTGTGGCACACAGGTTTAGTTGCTGCAGGGCATTTGGGATCTTCCCATATCAGGGATTGAACCTGTGTCTCCTGCACTGGTAGGCGGATTCTTTACCACTGAGCCACCAGGGAAACCCCCAAGTTCATTTTCTGGATTGCACTGATCTCTTCAGGTGTGTACTCAGATGTCAAAACTTAGCAGATTGTACATTTTAGATTAGCTTGTGGATTTAAGACTTCCCTGGTGGCTCAGACAGTAAAAGCGTCTGTCTACAAGGTGGGGGACCCAGGTTCAATCCCTGGGTCAGGAAGATCCCCTGGAGAAGGAAATGGCAACCCACTCCAGTGTTCTTGCCTGGAGAATCCCATGGACGGAGGAGCCTGGTAGACTACAGTCCAGGGGGTCACAAAGAGTTGGATTTATACTGTGCGGTTTGTTATTTATTAATTATATACCCCAATAAAACTATTTTATAAATGGCAGTGCAAGTGCTCATCATT